AACAGCCAGAATGTGAACGTAAACAGTTCAAGTGGACTTTGGATCACATATATTTGATTAACTGTCTTTTTAACAAACTACTTATACACACCCAGAGGGTTGCGGGATCGGTTCCAAACAACTGAATCGGATCAATATAAGTCAAAAATCTCAAAATACTCTATGTTAAATTCCATACAGGAGTTAAAAAACTGCTTCACATTAGATGACATGAATTTTAAAAAATAAATAACTCTACAAGTTCATACAAACACCTCCAATCAAACATTATTGAATAAAACTAAACAGGATACTAATATTTTTTATTAGTTTTTTTATTTTCTCCTTGTCCAATTATGGTGTCCTTCCTACAACAGCAAATGTCATTCCAGCCAATTAGTCAGAGTGACTCCAACCTGCCACATGTGAACACACTCCCCTCCCACAGTCAGGTTCTGATGTGAACGTGGGCGTTGGCATTCCTCTGTCCAAGCCAATGGGATTTTCCTCCAACCAAACGTGACACATGCCCTAGATGACGTTGGTGCATTTGTCACCAAGTAAATAAGTCATTACCGCAGACGACACATTTCCTCTACCTAAATACATACTGCATCATGTGGGTAGTTAACAGCGCATATTAACTACCCATATATAAGTATTTAAATGAAACCCCGGTTAGTCAGGTCTGTGTGAGCATTTCCATGAATGGTGGTAGATTTTCTATGTATGTAACAAAAACCCCTCAAATCTCTGGGTTTGTACATTCCCTCAAACCTGGAATCAATCAAGAATATCAACAAAAACCTCACAGACGCCGCATCAGTAGTCATTAAAGGGTAAATCTGCACGTACACGGCAGCGTCAATGACAGAGACGACGTGCTCCTGTCGAAACTTTCTTCCATAAATCAGCACAAAACATATAAGACTTGTAAAGTCTGACTCTGGCTCATCATGGAGTAAAACTGATAACAGTCACAAAGAAATGTTAAGCAGCCCAGGTCTTATAAACTGTAGGGATAATTCAAATTCACAATAGTCCTCAGTGATACAAAAAAGAAAATCTGCCTCTTTAACCTCCTATTCATGGGTTGATATCAAATGTAGCTTGGACTAAAAATGAAATAGGAAACAGTTCTGTTTAGTTTATTTAGACTACATTTATTCCTTTTATTTGAGAAAAGAGTTGGTCTTTTACACTACATTATTAATATCAGACTTCAGATCCTTATATTGTGATGTCTCGGTGGTTGAAGGGAAATGTTCCCAGATGTTCTATTAAAGTTGTGGTTCTGAGATCTTTCCCTCTGAGGGCTGGTCAAGAGATGGTTTAAAATCTAAAGATCGATCGTGACTACAGGAGTGACTCCGTGAATAAGGAGTGTTGGGCCGAGGTCTTGGCTTAAAATGTCAAGATGGCGACGATAGGCAGAGTAAAGGCTGGTGTCTGCAGGGGGGCGGGGCAAGTAAAGGAAACGGACTGCGGGCTTTGGTTCACCATGGTGCAGGATGAGATTGTTGACGGCGATAATGTATTCATCTGTGAGCAGAGCAGCATTGTTAGGGAACACTTTGATATCATCCCGTCCGGCCAGGTTCCCACAGTGACTCCCTTCTCGTCTCCGCCAGTGCAGCGCTACAACCTGGTCCCAGGACACCATTTGGACTTGGGCTGATATTCTTAACTCCTTCAGCATCATCCGGAGCTTTGTCTCCTCCTTTTCCTGAAGACTGCCCCCTGCTTCTACACAAAGGAAGAGTCGAAGTCTCGCTTGTTTCCAGGAACGTGTCTCCTGAAGCACGCAGGCGAGCTGCAGCAGGAACAGTGAACAGATGTCGACGTAGCCGTGGTTGTCTGGTTGGAGCAGATTAAGGGGCCATATGTCAACAAAGGGCCCCGCACCAGTCTGGGGACTCGCAATCTTTTTCCCCAAACCCAAAACCTTTTCTCGTTCAAACTCGTTAAAGTAACGAGCCAACACCACGTTCTTTCCCATCCTCACAGCATCGGCAATTATTGACACGTATTCCTCTTCGCGAAGGTCTTTGGCTTCTTCAGCAAGCCGCACATTGGGGAAAAAGGGACAACGCTGCTCCCCTGGTTTTTTGGTAAGAGATGCTGTATCCATGCCAGAGCCAACTGACAAAAGAATTTTACCCTGAAGGTGGTCTTGGGGGGTGCAGTCGTCATAGAAGCCAAGAACAATGGTGTTGGGCCTCATTCCACCTGCAGATGTAGCCAAAATGCAAATTTGTTTAATTAGTGCAAGCTTTATTTCATCTTAATCTGGACATGCAGCAGCCTGCCTACCCAACCCTGTGATAAAAAGCAGATTCTGAATGCCGCGCCGGATCGACTCAGCCAGTGTGAGGTTGACAAAGGCCTTGATGTTGAGATGATCAACCAAAGACAGCCAGGAGTCATAACGGCTCTGCAGAGGATCAGACGGCAAACCATCTGCAGAAGAAACAAAGTCAGAGTCAGGATGTAATTAGGCATTATGAAAAAACAAACAGAACGGCTCTTAATTTGCCTCATGTGGCCTTCAATGTCTGCTCGATAAAATCTAACTTTTATGAAGTCTGAACAAAGAATTCCAACCAACAATCCGTATAATTATATAATGAAATATGGTTAAAAATCAATGTGGTATAAAAATAGTCTCAAAAGAAAATTGAACTCATCTATGATACAAACTTGCTGAGGGTCAAACTCGTTTATAACAGAGACACGTTCTGGCATTAATAAGTAAAACTTACCCAGTATCCCCAGCCTCACATGACCCACGACATAGAGTCCACTTTTCTTTAAGTCATTGATAAAAGTCATGAGGCCCGTGCAGCTGCGAGGATTTGCCACCATCAGCAGCACCTGGGGCCTCCAGAACTTCACGTGGTCTTTACGCACATCCAACATTAACAGGTACTTACGCACCTGGGTCATTCAGAGAGTGGATATGAAAAAAGAAGCATGTCTTATTTTTACTGTTTCACAGTTTTGTGTCATTACCGTTGATAACTTGTTTGAAACCTTGTACCTGGTGGAAGATGAGAGCCTGGCTGATGTAGCCCCAGTTGCTGATAGGACCCAGGTAGTGGATGAGCATTAACAGCAGCAGCATAAAGGCAACGCTGGCAAAAGCATAAATAGCATCGATCATAAACATCATGACCAGGCAGCCAATGATGCCCAGTGTGCAGGTGTGCCAGGTGAAAAAACGGAAGGACGGTCTAAAATTAGTCACATGAAAAGGAACAATTAATTAGAAATGAACAGAATTAAATATCATTTTTACACGTGGTAATGCAGTTATAGAGCCATGGTCGGACATATTTTATTTCACCTGAAATTTGGTGCAGAAGCCCATTCGAGAGCCAAACAGGCCAGATTTACGGCAGCATAGACCAACAGGAAGAAGATGGTTACTATACCAGCTATGGTGTTCAATTTCCCTGCAAACAGCACCATCTAGTGACAGATATAGGGAACATTAATATGGCCAGTTTGAAAACAACAGTATGAATATACAAACGAACTAGAGGTTTAGATATTTAACACAAACTAAAATACCTGTTTTATTGCATGCTTACGTAAATTAGAACCCAAATAATAACTGATTAAAATATACACATTATTATTATTTATTTCAAAGGTTGTGAAGCCAAAACAATAGCTCTCAAAGTTATTAACTACTCACATAGAAGAGCAGGGAGATTTAAATTAAGTGACAAAACCGTAAAGAACTGACAATAAACTGTACAGTGTAGTTTCCCACCTGTACAAGTAACCAGGAGACCAGCACCGAGGCCCAGGGGTTCCCACTTGGAGATGTTTTCCTTACCAGAGCCAGGACACCACCTGTGGAGATTTCCATCATTAAACATAAAAGGTCAACTTATCTTTTACTATTCAATTAAACGAGACAATCCTCCTATACATTGGACAGTAACGTATACACACTATAACAGGATCACATGTAAGGACTTGAAATGTAAATCAACTTTCATCAATTATTTTAAATTAATTATGATTAATTATTGATTATTATTAGGTTTACAAGAACACCAGCTGGAACTGGACATGCTGTCACATAAACTTGTCAAACCATTTAGATCTGAGCACAACCTCAACCTGCAGTTTTAGACATTTAACACCAGCGGACATTTTACACATACCAATCGACATAAAATGTACTTGTACTTTCAATGTTATGGTCTGAGATAAGGTCAGATCCAGGCACACGATGCTTAGACTCTTACCAAACAGGTTGTCTTTGGACAAAGCGTACAGGATCCTGGAAGCTCCTATTAGGTTACTCATCGCAGCAGATATAGCGGAGGAGTAAATGCCAACTTTCACCATAGGAGGCCAGATATTAATGTCTCCCATGAAACCGTAGTCTCTCTGAAGGAGGACACTAAGAGTGGCACATAAAACCAGAAAAGGAAATGTGCTTTCACAATGCACATCTTATATTCACGTAAGTACATGAGAATGTGTATCTATCCGTCAAGTCTTACCGGTCACAGGACATGGCAGCCAGCAGACTCAGCAGATTGTAGGTGATAAAAGTTATGAGGACAGCTGCCAGGGTTCCTCTGGGGATGGAATAGCTGGGGTTTTTCAAATCACCTCCAAAAACACAACAGAGAATCCCTCTTAAAAAGACAAGTGAATCTACAGACGCCTTAGTGAAGTCATCAAAAGTCTGACATGAATGTTTAAACATCAGCAGGAGAATTCTCCTAGCATTATGCATTGCATTTTTTTACCCATCTTTCTGTCTTTTCTTCTTTCATTTGTTAAATAAGGGGCAGTATCAGTGTAGGATTTACCGCAGGTCACAATTGTAATCCTATTTCTATGTGCTCTAATATATATAAACCTCTGTGAGTCTTCAAGCCTACTAAAGAAGAGAGGGGATAATCACATGACTTAGGTTGGTTTGGTAACAGTGTTAGTGTTGGTAAATAAATGTGTGAGATCACTGTAAAGTTATCATTATTTTTATTAGCTTAGGTGTTTATTTTCTTTGATTTTCCTTAAGGACCTTTTATTACATATTTAATTCCAGCTCTTTCGACAACATCCTACCTGACATGTTGGAGCCAGCCATGATTCCAGTGCAGCCATTGAACATGACAGCAAACACTGTAGCAAAATTCATTGTGACTCCAGTCGTGTAGTCTACTGTGTAACTGGCTGTTAAAAAAAAAAAACCAAACAAACAAACCAAAAAAACAACTGCAGATGTTCATCATTTGCAAATACATCTGGGTTTATCAATAAAGGAAAAATATATATTGTCAGATCAATATCATTTTGTGCAGCCCTTCATGTACTCTTCAGAGCTGACACGACAGTATGGCACCATGGCAACACTTACGCAGCAGGTTGTTCTTCAGAGTGTGAAGATGGAACCCAGTGAAGTTGGCAAATATGAGACCAGTGCTGTTGAGCACAGAAGCAGCAGGCAGAATCACCACCACTGGTGTAACAATGAAGAAACTAAGGAAGATGGCCGCCAAGACTGACACGACAATGACCAGGATGATAAATGCTGCTTTGGCGTAGATGTGAGCTCCCACCTGTGAACACAACAATTAATTATTTTTATTTTTTTTTTTTACATCTTTACATAAGGATTAGACCTGTATTTATTATAATTAACTATAATATACATAATTATATAAATATATTATTAATTATAATTTTAAAAAAATACAGTGAAAAATTGCCACAGCTCACCAAGCAGACGGTGAAACACACGAAGAGAAGGCCGGTGGCATAAAGCACGGACCACCAATATCCTGAAGGCAACACCTGATACGGACCAGATATCACTGCTTCACCTGCTGTGGACATAAAACATTTATTTTACATCATAGTTTTCACTGCATCAAAGTCACAGAAATACCTTGTCACAAAACCTTGACGTTCCACACAAAGATATAAACCTTCATGCATGGATGATCCAACATTGCCACTGCATCTTACCTTCTGGGACACCGAACGTGGACAACATAGCCTCGACCAGGCCCAATATATAGAGTGCACTTCCACAAACATTGGCAAAGAAGAACATGATTCCGATGCTGCCTCCAAACTCTGGACCCAGGGCTCGGCTGATCATGTCTGCTCATGGACGTTAAAGGAATTCTGACAAGGCAGGATTAAACAGGAGAAAAATGATGGATGGAATTCATACAAGTAAAGAAAGGCGACACCTTGTGGTCATTAGCTGCAGTCTACATTATGTAAATAATCTAATTAGTGTTTCAGTGCACATGTACATACAGGTATGGTCAATGCAGTGTCTATCAAAATGATGGAATGATGGTTTGTCAACACATGGTGTTATTTGAAATTTAATATTGAGCATTAAACTTGACTTAGAGTCAAGAGATTAGGAGACTCAGCCAGACGCTGATGTATCCAGTAAAATCAGCATTTAAGAAAGACAACAATTACAGTTCTTTAAATAGCCAATGCTACAGACCAACAGCAGAGGATACAGTAAGCACCTCCAGCATCTAGGGCACCATTGGTAGAGATGGCACACACTGAAAACACCGTCATGGTGATAATTAAATAGGCCACCAGGAACATGGCAACGGCCTGATAGAGTCCCGCTTGTCCCACAACAAACCCTGCACAAAGGAACACATGTGTTTATTTTCAAACTTTAACCCAGTGTTTATTTCTCAAACCCGGTGCAGCATCGTTGCAGTCGGGTTTGATTGCTGACCAGTGGCATAACTCAAACTAAATTAATAAGGAAGCAAGGTTATTATACAAACATGAACAGATAAAATTTCAGGAGAGCAGAACCAAAGGTCAACAGCACTGCAGTTAACTGCACAGCCCTGGCACAAATGTGGCATGCTTCAGTGCTTACTCTGCTCTATTACAGCCAGATGACTCTGATAATTCATTTAATTACAAGAATATGTATATTTTTATAGAAATTATATTTATTATATATGATTATATATTAAATTGTTTCTTTAGTCGACTAATTGAAGTTCTAAGTTATTTATATATAAATACACATTTTCATATGTATAAATATGTATAACATATATATATACACATATATTAATTATTATTGTTTAGTGTTGCGTCTCGACTCACCAATTCGCAGAAACACAACAACGCTGAACATGGACAGCAAAGTTGGAGTAACCACTCCAAACATCACACCGAGCTTTCTGGACCGTGTTTCCTTCGAGCCTCTGCCGGACTGCGTCCCTGCGCCTTTTGCCACATCTTTGGGATCAGGCGTGGCGCTGAGTCGGTAATGAAGGAGCGGAGTTTTTTCTGACATGACACTCATAACTAAATCAAAGTGAAGGAAAAAAAAAAAAAGTTCAGAAGCAGGACGGCTTTAAAGTCAACACCTAAAGGGAAAACAATGGTTATAAACATTTAAACCACAGCAAAATCCAAGAGAAACATCCATTAAAAACTGCCAGTGGCCGCAGAGAAAGGGAACCTCACTTGTCGCACCTGACAGTTGATTAATGAGCAACGTGACGTCACCTCCGGTGATTGGCTTTTAAATCCAATTCGGAAGTTACATTAAACCAGAATAAGCCAAAAATGATACAGAGCATTTTAAAATTGAAAATTAAACTTATTTTAAAATGAAATCAAACTTATTTTTCTATTTAATTTTACTATTTTTAAACAAATTTGAACACATGAACACATGAACACATGAACACACATACAATAAACATATTCCTATCAAAATCTTTATTTGCAACATTTGTGAAGGCCTGGTACAGCATAAATATTACTTATAACAATGAATTGAACATTTATATGAGTTAATATGTCATGCATTTATATACAACATATTTACAGAAAAAATACAAGTATAGAATTAATCAGAAACTCTTTTTTTAAAGTCATGGCTTCAAAGTGCAACCCGGTACCTTTGTTTCACTGGTTCACTGGTTGAAAGTGCTATAAACATAAAAGAAAAATCAGTTGGAATTAAACAAATTTACATTGATATGAAGACTGTTCTGAAACTTACATTTCAATACCAACATAAAAATGTCAAAAACATATTTCTGTCCCAATTTATTCATGGAAAAAACTGTTTCACCTGTAAATTTAACAATGCCGATAAATGAAGGTTAATTATCCTAGTAAAATGTGTTGACCTGAGGCTTGGCTTGAGGCGAATTTATCCACATTTGTGAAGTTAAGAAGTTCCAGTGTCAATGGAAAGTACATGTGTCTTCCAGGTTAACAATGAACGTCTCCAGGTTGCCAGCGAGCAGCTGTTTAATTTTCATCCGGGGAAAGTGTTGAGGCTTTGTGACAACTGAGGAACACAAGACAGCGTTGGATTCATCGCTGGGCCCTGCTGGTCCAGAGACAAAACACAGTATCAGTAACACAGACCACAGAAAGATATATGATGTAACACTTATGATTTGAAAATATCTCTCTCCACAAGTAAATGTAAACGTGGAGTCATTTGGGGATTTACAAAAACTAAAGGGTGTTTTCCTTTGCTTGTGTCACTTCAGAGAAATAGTGTTTCACCAGGAAAGTATGCAGTGCTATCTTCATCTCGTCCTGAGGAAGGAAGTTTTGGGGTCACACTACAGAACACCACCACCATTAAGAGCAGGTCACACGATTACAAGAAACCACCTCATATCCAGACCAGAGGAATTGGGTCAAGTGACCACCAACCTGTACCATAATGTTAATTTTAATGTGATTTTAGCCCGTGTTCCTGAATTCACTTTGTCAACATGTTGATGAAAATAATTATTTGTGTACTTAGCTTCGAATACCTACATTTTTATAAAATGTATTAATTTAGAAAATCAAAGAGTCATCAAAAGTTAGGGGTGTAAATATAAAAAAACATTTTTTTCTTTTGGAGTGAGGCATCACTTGGTGCATTAATGTCCATCAAAGAGACCAGTGCATTTATTATCTGGACTTTTAAATTTATTGAATTTTTTAAGACAGATTCTATTTTTTTTAAGTAAATTGATATAACACTGATTAAAACTAGGGAGTAAAAAAATCTTGACATCAGTTTTCATCTGCAATGGCATCGAATTTACATTCAACTTCCAAATCAGTGCACATACACTTTCTGCACGCAGAGTACAACAATGACAGCTACTCACACTCAGCTGAAGCGACGTGAGAATGTATAAGTAGTTTCTGATGTTGTTTTCCAATCTCTGCAGCAGCGAAGCACCACATTCTGGCTGACTCAGAGCCCTCATCACCTTCACACCATCTTGGAGAAGCATCAAGGATGCAACTATGTCTCCTCTTCTCACCTGCAGCTGTAATCAGGCACATGAAGAAAGAGATAAATACGATGTACAGTATATAGAGAAAAAAAGAGAGATAAAAACACAGTTTTCAAGTGAACGCTAACCAAAGTCATGAATCCATTGTCAAGGACAATTCTGGATTGATACATGTGCTAACGTACTGATTTGGTTTCCCACGATGCCACATTAAGCTCTGTACACGGCAGCTGAAATGACGTGGTTATGACATCACTGCAATCATTCTGCCAAGAGAAGCGATGAAGAAGTTCACAGAAGTCACACAAACACGACGTAGAAAAAAAAAGATTTCCGAGGGCAGGTAGGATCATTTAACATTTTAATGAAGTGCAATGAGATAGTCAATCTTACAAGACAAGGACACTTTTTTTTTTTTTTTTTACTCACCAGTAATTTTTCCATTTCTGGCACTAGATTCAAAACCCTGCGTGCTGCCCTGTTACACACAAAGTCTATGGGTTTGGTCCCAGAATCCCACACCTTAGAGGCTAACATACATATCAGCAGTAGTCCTGGACCAACAGATAAACACACGATGTTCTTTAAGCATGAAGATTTGAGTTAACTAATAAAACTTAAACACTTACTGCTTAAAGCCATGCCCTGCTTGGCCGCTCCCGATGAGTCCACATTTGGTCCATTGAGAGTTTTATTTATACCCTGTGTCCACAATGCTGTCTTATAAAGAGGTACGGTGGCTCCTTTCACTACTTGATTTCCCACCTTGTCATTCAGCAAAGGGAAGTACATGTGTTATCTGGCCCCGAGAGCAGGATGTACTCTTACTTCCTTGCTATGCAGCATAACAAAATGTTAAAGAATGAAAATGGCATTTCCCTGGAATTTGCAGGGCTTTTTAGCTGCTGGTTTGACCAACACTAGTGTACCACAGAGAGCGTGCTGGCTGACTAAAAGGTTAATCATTTATTATTGTGACAGACTCCATTTACACAGCTGACATAAAAGCCAGTCACTACCACTGGAGGCTATTTACCTTCCTGTCCAGGCTGGCTTTGACCAAATAAGGCAACAGGATTTGTCAAAATCTTAGGAAAAAATAGTCATATATAGCTACAGACATCACTGTTCATTTTTAAGATTAAAACAACAACAACAACAAAAAACAAACTGTTGACTTGTTCAGCATGTGTGATGACTTGATGCTTGTAAAACTTTTCACAGGAAGTGAGGTCACAGGGAAAAATGATCTGGGGGCAGTAGGTCAGTAACTAGAGCAGGTCGTCATGCCAAAATGTCCATGCCAGGACAGTGTTCTTCTTCTTCTTTCCCAAATCAGAACAAATGGGTAAGCTTGCAATGCCCTGAAAAGACCACCAGGCAAAATTAAGGCTAACTGACAGTTGAATTCTTTTTTTTTTATCATCATTTTTGTCTAACAGTGATATCATTGCAATGATTAATTTGGTCAATGGCAAAAACATCAATAATATATATTTTGCAGGAAGCAAAGTATATTATCTGATGGGCTGCATTTGGTTCCTGAGAACGAGATGCTGAATCCTGTCTTACAGTCTGTATGATCAGAATTGATAGATTACATGTTAGAAATGGGAAAAGCACAGAATCCCATTTTGTCAGATTAAATCCTGTTTATTTATCCTCCCTTTTATGGGTTTTCAGCATCTGTTGTCATCTAGTGTTGTGACCCAAAGTCATCTGTACAGACCAACTGTTTTGACAGTACAGGGTGATGTTTCATGCTCCAATAAATGCAGCATGTTGAGAGAATACAGAAAAACATGAATGAGTTTCTAGGTCTGTGTCTCTGAGGAAATATGAGTGAGTCAGTTTTTAATGGCTACATCATTTTCCTTTTAAAGGGATATTCCATACAATAGGCTTCATATGAGTTAACCAATACTTCTATCCATCCATCCATTTTTATCCGGTTATTCGTTACGGGGTCCCCTTGTCAACCTTCCTGCGGTTGGTGAGCCCACTGGAAGATGAACCAATACTTACCTGAATTATTTTTATTATTATTATTATTTTGTAAAAGTTACCTTGTTGACCAATTGTGCAATTGCTGAGAAAATAAATAATCTACTTATATTGTTTGAATACAGGTCATCTTAAGTTAGTTTTATCACCTAATTGTTGTATTTATGACCACCAGGAAGAATTGATGGCTGTCGACCCGCGTGGATGACAACATCCGTCACTTTGTATTGTCAGACGGGCACAGCTGCAGGACGCGGTGACGCTCCTCTTCAATTGGCATGTGGAGGGGGTTGAGATGGACTGTAATGGCTGTCAAAGACACGGGTAAGAGACAACATGCGGGGATGCATCATTCATCCTCATGTCGGACACACGTGTCCTCACCCGTTTCTCCAACTCGCACATTTACCGAGTCCCTGCCCTTTTCTATTTGCGCCCTAGCCGTTCGTGTGTGCCATAATTAAGACGCATGGAGCCTAATATTAGACCTCAAAGTGTGTGTTGTCACACTCGAGAGAGAGATAGAGAGAGAGAGGGTGGGGGGGGGGGGCTTAGGGGGGGGGGGGGGCGCG